CCCAACTTACAAACGTTCTCATTGACCTTAGGCCACTTCGAATATCCTAATGAAAGTTATGTGCCATCTAGCACTTGCTCAGCTTTATGCCTGATGCCCACACCCACAGAACAAGCTCAGGTAGGCAGTGGGACCCCAAGTAAAGGCTGGATCTCATCAGAGAGCTGTGTGGAGCAGTGGCTTGTGCAGAGCAGTGAAAAACAGGAGAGGCTGTGCTGGGAAGGGAAGTGGAACCAGTGCCCAGAGTTTTATCTGCTTTGCCCATAAAAGGAGACCGGACACTTCACAGAAGCCTGCTCTGGGGCTCCAGTCCACTCTTCATCACGTGGCATGGATTTATGTTGTCTCATCCATTGTAAGCAGGAGTTCAACTGCAGTAAAATATTTGTTTAAATTGCTGAAATTCCAGAATCTACATTGGTTATCTTCTCACTTTATCTTTTTTTTTCCAAGACAGAGTTTCAAACTGTCACCTGGGTAGAGTGCTGTGGCATCGCAGTTCACAGCAACCTCAGACTCTTGGGCTAAAGCAATTCTCTTGCCTCAGCCTTCCAAGTAGCTGGGACTACAGGCACCCGCCACAATGCCTGGCTATTTTTTTGTTGCAGTTGTCATTGTGGTTTTAGCTGGCCAGACCAGGTTCAAACCGCCAGCCTGGGTGTATGTGGCTGGCGCCTTACCCAACTGAGCTATGGATGCCACCCTTTATTTATCTTTTCAATGTCTTATATCTTATCATTCTTATAATGCCTTTCTGAAAGCAATGCCAGGGATCTAGTATCTTAGATGAGGCAACATAATGTAATCTCCGACCTTGATGTGAGTCTATTTTCTTGTCATGGAGAATACTTTGTATAGCTAATTAAGATACTTGGGCATGACTTGACATACTCTTTAGATGCTAATAGTCATGGCTTGGATCAGGAGGGTTGGCAGCTACCCAGCCTTGGTGCTCAGACATTGCCTCCTCCCATGCTTGAGGCAGATGCAAATTCTCCAGCTTGAACCCTTTCCACTTAGGGCTCCAGAAAGACACCTGTTGATTCTCAGGAGCAGGGCCTGGGAACCCTCCCAGTGAATCACATCACTCTCCTGGGGTCCTAGCCAGTGAAAATCTCAATTTGTGCCTTTATTGATGCTAATTTTTAAAAATGTGCCCACTACTTAAAAACTCTTATGTATATTTTGAAATTAATTAAGATGTATCACAGCAATAGTCATAGTTTAGATCCCTAACTAATATGAATCTAAATACCTAGTTGATAGATTTGATAAAAATGAGTAATTTTTATTAAAGTTTTCTTCTGTACATTGACCAAAGACTTTTAATTCTAGATTTATATATGGCTCCCCTCACATTAAAAGTAAAGTGTTTACTGTTTTCTTTTAGCTTCTGGGCTTTGCACTTGATTTAATAACAGCTCGATGGTCCACAATTTTCTAGAGCTCTATAGCCATCTTAAAGCTGATACTAATGGTCCTGGCCTTTGGCAATGAATAATTAATTCTGCTGCAGATAACTAAATTAGGAAAGACTCTATAGGGGAAAAAACCCTGAAGGAATGGTCCATGGCAGGACTTTAGGAGGAGCTGAAGAGCAGAGGTTGCCCAGACAGGGAAAGTGCAGCTGCCATAATTGTTGATGGCATCTCACCAAGGGTTTTCACTCACTCAGCAAACAGGTCAGTAACTAATGTCAGCGGAGTGCCCCATATGCAGACAATGTCTTGGGTCATACTGGTCAAGAGAATCAGGAACTTGAAGCAGAATCATGGAAGCATTTGATCCTACTCCCTCCTTAGTTTTGTTACTGGTGACTCAAAGAGGGCCCAACACACTACCCTTCTGGGTCCGGGGTGAGGTCTTTGTTGCTATTTCCAGGGGCCCATTGGCCCATACCTCCACCGTGGTAGTATACCAGCTCTGCTGGGAGTCACAAGTCCACGTATCAAGGGGAAGAACCTATTTCCCTCCTAAAACAATGGCAATTGCAGGTGAGAGCTGAGCAAGAGGGTAACCCTTAACTTTCCACTCTGTACTCGGATAACATGGATCTGCCCTCCATGTTTGACAGTCTTCATCCTCTCATCCAGGTATCACCATTAGTTCCAAACTGCCCTTTATAGGCTGATCTCAGGCTGTCTTTCAATTTCTAAGACAATGATGTATAGCCAAAAAAAAAAAAAAAAAAGGCAAAAATCCCTATTGTATGTAACATCCCTCATTATTATTCCTAGGGTTCTGTCCCTGGGAACTGAGAAAGTGATATAGAAATTGCTGCTTCTCACAGGCCGTGTCCATTTCCTAACTCAGGCTAGGGCGAGGGCAAGTGGTTATTTGCCAGTGAGTCCTACGTCTCTGAGCTGGAACTGGATAGATTTCGACAGTACAAGAGACCTGGGGATTAGGCCTGCTTCAGCCTCCCACCTGTCCACGTCCTACCTCTGTGATCTAGTTAGGCATCCCATCTGGCTGCCTACCTGTCCCTAAACTTCCCTCAGTCTAAGATTAGTGGTGTGGGTAGAGGGAGGGTAGAGGTGGTGCAGGAGGAATAAAAAAAGGGAATGGAGTGGCAGGATGGGAAGGAGCTCAGGTCAGGGTGGTCAAAATCAGAGTCCAGCAAATCATCTCCGTTCCCCTCGGCCTGCCTCCCAGGAGCAGGGGCTGGCAGGCAAGGAAATAGTTTCACTGATCATCTATTGGGTTATATATCAAAAGCAATTCAAAGTGTCAAAAATATAAATGATGATGTATCTGTCTCAAGATCCTAGCATTCTGGAGGTTAAGTGTGTTTAGCAGGCTACTGCAGAGATAGCAAGAGTTGAAGATAAAAACATGAAATAATTGGAGTATGATCCAAGAGATGACAATATGGTGTAACTGGTTTACCTGGTCTTATAACCTAATGAAGAATATGTCCATAACCCAATAAACATTCTACTCATTAGAGTATTTATGACTGCATTTATTCCTCACCGCTTTTAAAAAAATATTTGAAGCTAAGTACACAAATCACTCTGCTAGGCCAAAGAATGAGCTAAGCCCTCCAACACTGCTACACAGGGCCAGGAAGGAAGTGTGCCATAAAGGGTTCCTGGAGATTCTAGCACCTACTAGCTCTCCAAAAGGCACGATCCTGTCAGTTTTCTCATTAGATGAATGGATTTAATCATCTTTGCCTTGCTAAGTTTTAGGGGAATTAGAGACAATATAAAGAGGGGACCCAGAGACAATATAAAGAGGGGTGAGACACCCCTCATGAAATGACCTCTCCATAAATAGCTACCATTATTGTGAGGGTTTTAAGTCAAGCTGTGGGTAAAATGTTTGTGAGCCCCTAAATATATCTCCCCTGGATGTTATCAAAAAGCTTCCAAAAGCCTCAAGAAGCTTCAAGGAAGACACTGCTCTTGGCTATGGGATGCCCCTTGGCCCTCTATGTGACTCCTGAACCACAGTGACAGCAGCTGCTGCTTTAGTTGAGACCAGCGCATATGTGACGCTGTGCTGGCCCCTCCACATGCACTGTCCTACTTCCCCTCACTATGATCGAGTGTAAGGTGTGTTTTGGTCCCATTTCACATGTAAGAGAACGGAGACCAGAGGTCCAGGCGCTTGCCTACCTGGGCCTGTGGTGACCTTGGGATCTGGGTTCAAGTTCAACTCTATAACTGAAGCTCTCAGGCACCTCTCTAAAATCCACCTCCAGCAAAATGAAGCAAAAAATCCCCCAAAGACCAGCAATTGGCGTCTGCCAGTTTCCTCCGCCGGCTCCTGCGCCTTCTCCCGGCTGAATTGTCTCTGGAGACACTGTTACATCGCTTACTTTCTCAGATCCCTCTCCCTTCCCCCGGGAGAGAATTTGCTCCTGTTTGCCTGGTGGGATGGGGGTTTGGGGAGGTTTGTCTCTTTCTCGCACAATGCCACCCCTAATAGGAGGAAGCTCTCTTTCTCAGCCTTTCAAATCTCCTCCGCGGCTCGTCTTACACCCCCAACACCGCAGGGAACTTCCCCAAACCGTACTCTGGCAGGCAGGCAGCGTGTGTGTGTGCTGGGCCCACGGGGAGGTGAAAAGCTCCCAATCCAGCCTCTGCGTCATCCCTGCAATTGGTCGGTCGGAAATGGGGTTTACGGCGTTTAATCCGGGAGGGCACTTCAACCTTTGCTGTTTGCCTGAGTCCCTGATTTTCCTGTCTAGTGTGCCAGGGACCCGCAGGACATCCGTGCCTCAGTTCACTCCCTGCCATCATCCAACCCCAGAACAGGAAGCAGGGGGGAGGGAGAGAGCCAGGGGGCTTGGTTGGTCGCCTCCCCGCGTTTCGTGCAGGTCTTACCATTCCATTTCGGAGGGAGCCAGCGAGGCTCCTACTGCAGAGAGGAGAGCGGGCGACAATGCCACCTGCTGAGAGCCGCTCAGGCCGCGCGAGCCGCGGGCAGAGCCACCTGCTATAAATAGGGCGCCGAGGACAGTGTGTGCGACCGCACATCCCGCCACGAGGGCCTTAATCACGCGCGGGGCCCTGCGTCCTCGGCGCCCCAGGAGTAAGCGGGGTCAGGACTCTGCGGAGGGGCCAGATGGGGCGGCGGCGCCAGGACCCTCCCCGTCCCCTCCCTCAGGCGCGGGCCGAGGACCTAGCGCCGGCCGGGGGGAGGCGGGGAGGCGGGGGAGGCCAGGAGCGGAGGGAGGCCGCGGCTGACTCGCACTGCAGCAGCTGTTGCTCGCTTGTGACCCGCCGGGGCCAGGCCGGGCCGGCGGAGCAGTCACAAGGCGCAGTGGGGAAGAGAGTGGCATCGCGTCCCCTCTCGGGTCCCTGGGGACCAAGTAGGGAGATCCTGGCTCCTGCCTGCCCCTAGCCTCCCCCGAGCTCGCCCAGCCGGGGAGGAGGAAACGCGAGCAGCGCGCAGACACCTCCTCCTCCTCCTCCTCATCGGCCGCTGCTGCTGCCGCCTCCACCGCCGCCGCGGTCCGCGCCACTGTGCCTGTTGCTGCCGTAGCCTTGGGACCCGCGGCGTCCTCCGCCAGGTGGAGAAGAGGCGGGAACCGAGCCTAGAGGCTCCTCCGGCACCCAGCGGCGGGAAGAGCGCGTCCAGCCGGGCACGATGGATGCCCCGCCTGCTCAGGCCGTCCCCAAGATGCCCCCGAGCACCTGCGCGTCCCGGCCGGGCCCCGGGCTCTGAGCGCATCGCGGCACAGGTAGGCGCCTTCAGGGGCTTCACTCACGCCACCCGGCTGGGTCTTCCCCGGGCCTCCCGGCAGCCTCCCAACCCCAGCACGCCCCTGCCCTGCCTGGCCGAGGAGCGGACGGAATCTGGCAGTTCCCCGGCGTTCCTGCCGGCCTTGTCGCTCAGGATTGGAAGTTCATTGCCAGCTCCTTGCCCCCAGCTTGGACGAAAGCGAAACCTTGACATTCACAGCGACCCGAAAGCTCCGGCGGGCGTCTGGCCCTGGCCCCCTCCTGCTCTCGGGTCCTCACATCTCCTCCCCCGCCCCATCCAAATATCCCCAGGGTTAGCGTGTTTGTAAGGCGGCCAGATTGGGAGGAGGACGATCAGGGTGACCCCATGCCACCCCTTAAAAGTTCAGGGTACTTTGCGGGAGTAACTTTGGCAGCGCCATCAGCGCGCGCGGTATTTCTTTCTATGGGCACATCCTGTACCAGTCAGTCATTCTGAAACCCTGCTTGGTTGTTTCCGGCAGCTTCCTGATCGCCGTGGGGTTGTGAGACCCCCCAAAGTTCACCACACCTTGATTTTTTTTTGGCTAAGAGAGCTGTCATTTAGTTTGAAACCCACCTCGATGTGGCTTTTCCTGTTCTTATTCTATTTAAAATAGCTTATTCTCTGAAAGTTGCTTTAAGAAGAAAAGAAATTGAAAGTGATGGGGGATCCGTTCTCCAGTTTAATTTTCAGAGTGCCCTGTATTAGTGGATAGGTCTTCACTTCATAGATCTCTTATTCTTCCTTTTAGATGATGGAATGGTTTTATTTATTAATATAACCAGACTTTGAAAGAGTATTTTTTAAATGACCTGATTTAAATAGGTCACACCCAGGAAACTCACCTCTCTGAACAAGTTTAAACTTCTAAACTTTTTGCACAGGACCTATGCTCAATGCAGAAGCCTTGATTTAAAAAACAACAACAACAACAGAAGCAGAAACCCTTGTTTAGGAGTTGGAGAAAAGCCACCTCTGGCTTTTGTTCCAGTTTGGGCAGCCTGAGTGAAGTCTGTGGGAGGGGTTAAGGAGAGCTGTTTGCAGAGGCTGGGAATTCACCTGCTGGAAGGTTTCTCTCACTCCCTGGGGTTAGGGATCTCTGAAGCAGGCGAGTTATGCAACTTTTTCTAGAGTTGAGATGGTTTCTCATGGCTGGAAAGAAGCTTCCCCTTGGGAACTGAACTGTCTAAAGGAATAAGGACATTGCTGGACAGTTTGTATGAAAAAGGGTTGACTGCTTTTATAAACAGGTGTTTTACAACCTGTTTGAAATCGGATGCTGTCACAGTCTCACAGTCTGTTTCTTTTGGGTTTTTTTTCCTACCAAGTTATAGAAAAATAAGTCCATAACTAGTGCTTTCTCTCCAGATTTATCTGTTAAGTAGCCATGGACATAACATGGGCGTTTAGGGAATGTTTTCTGATGTTAATATAATGTTAACATATAACATATAATTTTTCTGATGTTAATATAAGTGGATGTTAATAATAGTGTCCTGACACTATTAAGTGAGTGCAAGAAGCATAAACAGGACTAAGCAGGAAATAAAGTCATTAGGTGATAATTAAAATAAATGCCTTCATGTGAATTGGTGCATCCATTTGCAAGGGAGTGGAATAGGAAAACATTTCATTGGTGTAGTTACAAATTATCAGCATCAAAGCAGTTTTGCACATGGGACTTCCTGCCATAGTCTACCCTCATCTACCCAACTGGGAGTTCTGGGGTTTCCCCTTTCACTATGATACCAGTTCTGGTTGGGCAGCAGTGGTGTCAGTGACTTCTGTGCCATGGGAATAGTTTGTCATGGTAGCAGAGTATGATGAGGAAGTGGCCCACTCTGAAGAGAGGGGGCTGGCTGCTTCTTCCTTACCACCCAGCTGTCTGCCACTTCCTAGCAGGCAGCTCCGACTGCCCGGCTGGGAAGGCTGAGGTTGTTTTAAGAAGTTTTTTTTTTTTTTTCAGTTTTTGCCTGGAGCTGGGTTTGAACCCACCACCTCCGGCATATGGGACCAGTGCCCTAACCTTTTGAGCCACAGGCACCACCCCAGGAAGGCTGAGGTTGTAAGCACATATACCCCAGTGTGGGTGGGTGGCTCCTTCATGACTGGGATCTTCTGTGACCTTCTAGGGCAGGCGTGCTCAAACTATGGCCCATGGGCCACATGCGGCCTGCCTAGGACATTTATCCGGCCCGCCGGGTGTTTTTGCCGCTGCTGCCTGTCCTGCTTAGCAGCTGACTCATCCTGGGGCCTGCAGTCTGGCCCTCCAACGGTCTGAAGGACAGTGAACTGGCCCCCTGTTTAAAGTTTGAGGACCCCTGTTCTGGGGTGTATGCCTGGTGAGAGTAGGGACTGCTGCATCTAACCACAGGCTTCTAGTGGTTCTGTCTTCACCCCAGCATCTCCAATCATTCTAGTGCCCGAGAAGGGCTGCTTCCTGTTTATTTTTATTTTATTTTATTTTACTTTTGGTTTTGAGATACAGTCTTCCTCTGTCACCCTGGGTAGAGTGCCATGCCATCATAACTTACAGCAACTCAAATTCTTGGGCTCAAGTGATCCTTTTGCCTCAGCCTCCCAGGTAGCTGGGACTACAGGAGTGTACCATTATGCCCAGCTAGTTTTTCTGTTTTGAGTAGAGATGGATCTCGTTCTTGGCTCACGCTGATCCAACTGCCTGCCTCAGCCTCCCAGAGTGCTGGGATTACAGGGGTAAACCACCTTACCTGGCTTTTTTTTTTTCTTTTTTGAGGGCTGCCTGCTGTTTAGACCACCAGCTCCTTGGTAAAGTAAGTGGCAGGGTGGAAGGCTTGAGAGGATTCTGTCTTTGAACATGCTTTTAACTTGATCTCACTAAGCTCCCCCAAGCCCCTGTGGCTTTCTCTACACAGCATTTTCCTGTAGGCCTTCACCCTTTGCAGATTCCCCAGAGAACCCAAAATGTTTCTCAGCCCATTTGGGGACTTCACACACACATGTGGAGCCTCGGCACAGTTCTTTTGCCCTTTCGCCAGCTACTGTCTTGACCTTCTCGAGTTTAAAGGCCACATTATTGTCAATATGTGAAATGTTTCCCAGCCCTTTTCTTCTCTTGGTCGTTAAACTTGGAGAAGTAGAATCTGCTCATTAAAAGCACTGAGTCCACTCGGCAACGAGGAGCTTGGGGGTTTGTATATCTCTGTAGTGATGACAAAGGATTTAGGTTTCCAGTCAGGACTGGTAATCTTATGATTTCCTTTTTCTCCAACCCCACATTCTAATACAACTTTTTTTTTTTTTTTTGCAGTTTTTGGCTGGGGCTGGGTTTGAACCTGCCACCTCCAGTATATGGGGCCAGTGCCCTACTCCTTGAGTCACAGGTGCCACCCTTTTTTTTTTTGAATAGAGACAGAGTCTCACTTTATCACCCTTGGTAGAGTGCTGTGGCATCACAGCTCACAGCAACCTCCAACCCCGGGCTTAGGCAATTCTCCTGCCTCAGCCTTCCAAGTAGCTGGGACTAAAGGTGCCCACCTCAACACGTGGCTATTTTTTGTTGCAGTTTGGCAGGGGCCAGGTTTGAACTGGCCACCGTTGGTATATGGGGTTGGAGCCCTACCCACAGAGCAATAGGTGCTGCCCCCAGTGCAAATATTTTTAAGCCAAATTCTTCACAAAAGACATGAAGTTTTCCATTTTCAGGGTTTTTGACATTTCCAAGCTGCCATTTCCATTTGATGGGGTCTTAGATTTAAGGGCAATGTGTCTCTTTTCAGATTTCAAATGTTTAAAAAAAGATTTGTTGTATTTGAGCCATCTGAAAGAATTTTGACACTTAGGTTTTTGTGAAGCTTTGCAGAATGTAGGAAATATCTTTTAGCACCAACAAAGAGGCATTTAATTTTGAATGTGCCTATTTCCTTTGAGACAATGAACAGCTATTTTTGTCTTAAAAAGATAATGCACTTACTTAACAACACATTACTATATTCAATGAATATACTATTGAATACTATATTCAATGAATCCAAATTAGATAAGCACTTACTGGTTTGATGTCAGAATTAATGAATTTATATATGTAAAATGTTTATAACAGTGCCTGGTACATAGTGATCATTTAATAATACTGCTGTTACTACATTTATTTGTTCATTCTGTGCTTTTAGAGTATAACTTAAATGTTAGGTTTGGATTACTGAAACCAATCAAAATTTAGATAGAACAACCGAGCTAATCTATTAGAGAGGTTAGATATTTGAGGGTTATTCTCTTCAAAAGATCTTATTATCCTGGAAAGAATAGAAATTTGTGCCTTACCATTTATTAGTCAGTTTCTGTAAAATGAAGATGATGAAATGTTCTTTTCAGAGCTGTGAGATATCCAGATATCCAGAGCTGTGAGATATCCAGATATCCAGAGCTGTGAGATATCCAGATATCCAGAGCTATCCAGAAGATAGTGCCTATAAAATGTTCCCAAAGAGATGATTGGTCAACAGTTAACCTGGCAACTACTTGGAAATAGCAAAGTAGTCGGGAGCAAGCATAGACTCTGGAGCGAAAGGGTATGGGTTTGAATCCTGATTCTGCCATTTCCAACTATTATGTCCTTGGGGTGATGTCTCACTTCTCTGTGCTGTAACTCCCTTCTTCACACTCACATTTAAATTGGAGATGATAATAGTCTGTAAGAGTCCTTATTCAGTAATGATAATAGTCCTTATTGTCCAAGGTTGTTGTAAGCATTAAATTAATTAATAGATACAGAGTGCTATTATGTGTTAACGATTACTATTATTACCTTTAGGAGAATAACAAAGTAACCATGTGGGTGGGGGAGGGTCATACATAATTTCTGAAGGGTAGCTAGGACCCCCACCCCCAACCCTTTATCCTGTGCAATAAGGAGATTATAAGTGACAATGGCATTCTAAAGGACCAGCCTTGAATTGGCTCTGATTTTATACACATGTGTATAAGAAGCACATCATT